CCAGCCGCCCTCCCTACTTACCCTGCCTCAGCCTTCTTGGGGTGGAAGGCCAGGGAGGAAGAGGCATGGAGATCTTGGGGTGCTGGGGGTGCCTGGATTCCTGCATCTGTGTATTTGCCAAAGAAGACAGGGTGGGCCAGGGGACATGCTTGAGGAGGCCCCAGCACTGATGTGTGTCTACCCCGCCCTTCCTCACTGACACTGTGCCGCATGGGGGTGCAGTGGAATGTTCCCTCCTGGTGGAGAGACTGCCCAGCAGAGGCCACCCCACGGGAGAGCGGGAGAGGCCGCCTCCAGCCAGGGACCCAGGGAGCATCTTGCCCAGGCTTTTTATACCTTACAGTATAACTTTTTTATTTTATTTTACTCTGATTATGATTATTCAGGAATATTATCTCAGATAAGTTTAGGGTTAGCTTTCTGATTTATAACTTTTTACTGTGTTGATTTCTGTAATGGTTTGATTTTTTTCTGAGGGTGGGAGATGGGTGGGAGAGAGGACATCTGTCTGGTTTCAATCAGGACAAACCACTGTGCAACACTCAGGAGGCGCTTGGGTGAGGTGCGCCAGCCTGCATTCTGAGGCACTGAGAGGAGGGCCGGCAAGGACTGCTCTCCCTGGCCCAGGGCAGCATCTTTGGCACAAGAGCCTGGAAGAGGAGGTGAAATGAGGATCATGAAGCAACATGGAGGAGCGTCCTGCACAGGAGCAACGGGTTGGCGAATGCTGGTGCAAGAGGCCAGAGCAGCAGGGGTTGCTAGAGGCTGGCGAGGTGCTTTCCCAGGAGTATGGCTGGAGCCATCGTGGGTCCTTCCACTTCACTGATGAGCAGTTGTTCTTTTTTCCCTTCCCCTGCCTTCTGCTGGCATGGGAGGCCCCTCCTTACCCCTGCCCCCGCCACTCCCCCTGCGGGCCTTCCTGCGACAGGTTCTGCCAACCCCAGTGATTTCAGACATTCCTGCTAGAAACTCTTGGACACATACCTCTCGTTCAGCTGCTGCTCACTTTCTCACACTGCTTCTGGGAGGAGAAGCAGTCCCAAGGTTTTGCTGCTCAGTGGTAGAGGCCCTGTGGCAGTCAGGAGGGGCAGGTGGAAGTGGTGCCCATGATCATTCCAGCCAGTTCACTGGGCTGCTGGTTCCCTGCTGGGAGGAAGGGACAGGTGTCCACCCAGGTCCCAGGACCCATATCCTTCCTCGGGGCTCATTGATGGTGGGCTGGGTGATGATCACATCCTCTGTGACCCCAAGGAAAGTATAGAAAACTGAGAGAGGTCAGACTGGATCCTGTTAAGTAGCCCCAGGACTAAAGCAGCCTGAGTCAGGGCCTGGGAGATGAGCAAGTAGGCGGGGCATTCGACTGCAAGGGGGCCCCAGCGCTTATGCTGGCCTACGCCAGCATTTTGCAGTTAAAGAAGAAAGTCAAGAACCCGTGGGACAGAGCTTGAGAAGGTTCCCCACTAGCTAGGTAGGACCCAGTGTGCTTCCCCAGGTGGGGCCTCATGGGAGGTTGCCTTTTCTTACACCACTTGGTTCCATACCTAGTTTTTTCACCAGGCTCATATCTTCTCTCCAACCTCCACCTGTCTGTTCTAAGAGCTGTGACTCAGCAGCCCAGCCAGCATCTCCTCCACTAACAAGTGCAGTGTAGTCAGGACCAGGAGTACAGAGCTTTGGGTGAGCTCAGGATTCACATTTTTGGAGGGTGGAGAGTAGAGAATAGAGTAGTCTCAGTGAGTTGAGCAGTAGAGCCACTCCCCTGAGACAGGAGCACTGGTGCAGATGGGAGAGCTGGGAAGGTGTTCCTGGGGTGGAGGATGGGAAAGCACATGGTTGAGCAAAACTGCCTCTGGGTCCTCTGTCTGGTCTTCCTGGTAAGGAGCTTCAGCTGCCTCCCCGGGAACCTGTCTGCAGACCTCAGAACAGCCATGCCACCACGCCATTGTGGAGACACTCGGCAAACAAGCATTCACGTCGCACAGTGGGACCTGGTGCATAATGATTTATGCTGGGGTAGGGGGGTGGGTTTGTTTATGCCTATCAATGCAATTTTTAATTTTTGTTAAAATCAACAGCAAAAGCCTAGCACCTTGGGGGTATAGCCTCCCTGGCAATCTTATGTTTCTGGAGCTTCAGGGGCATCCTTTGGCCCTGGAGCCCTTGCCACAGACCCCCTTCCTCCTGCAAGCCCCCCACCTCATTCATCTGTCTGCAGAACCTTGTCCACAGTTCCCAAATTCCCTTCTTGCGCCCTGTGCTTGGTTGTTCTGTCATTTGGCTGAGTCTACCCTGGGTGGAAGGTGCAGTGCATGGGCCGGGGGTGCTCTTCCAAGCCTGTGTCTGGCCCACACTGCAGAAGGCCTCAGTCCTGGCTTCCCTAACCAGTCAGAGTTAGTTTAGTCAGGTCTGATGCAGGCAGTTTATAGAGGGCTCAGAAGGTCAGGGTCCTGCAGTCACATCAGGGGAGTGCCTGTGTGGCTTTTCTCTGCAGCCACCTCATGAGAGGTGAGTGAGCAGGTGCTGAGCTGTTTCGAGGGGCTGCAGCAGGTGCAGGCACAGTCTCCACCAGGGCTCCCCCTGCAGGCCTAGGCCTGCATCATAGGCTCTCCGGAAAGGCTGCTGAGCCCACCCCAGACTCACGCAGATGTTCTGGTCTGACTTGGAACTAGGTGGCCATCCCTCCTTGTGTTAGTGGCCAAAGAGCAGTCAGATGGATGGAAATGACTGTCCCCAGCTCTTGGGCCCCCTGCCCACCCACTGGTGGAGGTGCTAACTAGCAGGGACCTGGCATAGGATAGGAGCTGGGGCCAGGTGCTTGGGGTCTGCTCTTTGTCCTGCCTTTCAGAGGTTGGCACTCATGTTCCCATTCTCCCATGTCCTCCTCTCCCCATAGTGAAGCAGTGTTCAGGGTGGGGCCTGGCCTTTCTGCCCTGACTGGGCACTCTGAGGGTGAGGCCTGGGGGCCACGGTGCCCACACCCTGCGCAGCCCCGGGCAGCCCCGGACAGCGCAGGGGAGCACGCCTGTTGGTTTCAAATGCACTTTTCTGCTTGCGATGCCGTATCTGCGTTTCCTTCATCCTGGTCCTGGCTTTATTGAACACCATGTTTTTAGCATGTTTTTAAATAAAAACTGATAACGTGTCAAAAGCACAAGCAGGCTGTCTCCGTGGTGTGTTCATTCTGTCAGCCATGACTGACTCATTTCATGTCCTGGTTGGTGGGAGACCAGTGGGGGGTCAAGCACCAGTCCCACTATCTGTCCAAGACACACTCCGTAGCCAGGACCTCATCTCTCCTCAGGCCCAGGGTATAGATCTGCTGGGTTGGGG